TTTGGAGGCCGATTCGAGGGGCAAAGGCATCGCGAGCTAGAGATTTGGACTGGGTAGAGGTGAGTAATGATTGTAAATGTTGTCCTGAGGGTATGAAACCCCGGATTGCACATCGTTGTGCTATATTGAGGTGATGCACCCGCTACATGACGAGTGTGGGATCATGCACTGTTGGGGATTGTGACTTAACCCATCCCAAATGATTGTTTTACCGCGTATTTGATTGAAAACTGTTTGTTATCATCATGTTTTGGACTGAATGTCATATATCCTTTATGTGTTTATCTTTCCTTGTTGCCTTTCATTTACTTGCTCAATTGTTAAAAAGGCATTTCATGAAGTTTAAACTAAACTAAAATGACTTTACATATTTTCATTGTTTCACTGTTTTTACTGGCTTTTACTGCTTCCTTGTAGCCTTTGATGTGCCTTACGTGATTTCATATTTCTCAGTCTTTATTTATAATTATTACTCACTGAGTTGGAGTACTCACTTTACTCCCTACACCCCGTGTGCAGATTCAGGCGCTTCAGGTCCTACTGGCGAGGGTTGAGAGCTTTCAGCAGATTCCGAAGTTCATGAGGTAGCTGCTCGGCGTTCGTAGCCCCGTGCTTCTCTCCCTTATCTCATTTTTTTCTCTATTCAGTATTTTTGTAATAGCTGTGTAGACTCTTCAGAATTGTAGTAGATTGATAGATGCTCATGACTGGTGACATTGCGGTATCGGGCTGTGTTGGTTTTATTTCCGCAAATTGTACTGTTCACTGCTTATTTTGGGATTTTATCATGTTTAAGACTTAATACTTATTATCTTAGTTGCTTAAAACTAAAATGGGAATGTGTCGACTGACCTTGTCTTCATGAGAGACGCCATCACGATCGGGTCCGGGTTTAGGGTCGTGACAAAGAAGGTAAAATTCCTAAAAAGAATTGATGATTGGGGGTATGCTTTTAACAACTAGAGATAAGCGTTCTAGTCATCCAATAAAATGTGGGCAGCTTCTTAAGGATGTGTGTTTTGAGGGAAATGGGAAATCCGATAAAAGTTCAAATGATATAAGCAGAAAAATAGTAGAAATACAAACATGATTTGGTATGACAGAAAACATTTTCTGAAAAATTTGTCTAGAAAATGACTTATTTTCTAAATAAATATTTTAAGAAACATATTTTTTCGTATTTGGTTAAGAGATTTTTTTAATAAATATTACTCCATTTTCATAGTCATGCCGTAGTATTCATTTAAAGTACAATTCTCTATATAAATAGTCGTAACGTGCATATCTTCTGTACAGAGAAGTAATTTCAAGGCCACCAAGCCAATCTGCTGAGCTGTTTATATATATATATATATATATATATATATATTAAAAGCACGAAGACCCTTAGCGAAATGTCGTTCGCCTTTTATACCATTTAAAATTAATTTTCATATTAGATAAAATAGTCATTTTACCATTTTCCTAATATTTAGAAATTTAAAATCAATTAAAATATAGCTAATTAAAATCTTTCCTTATTTGAGTTAGGTAGAAAATCTTAATATTTAGGGCAAAATCCAAGTAACATTTTACATTACATAAATTCTTTCCTTTTACAATTTATTGATTTGAACACGAAAGAACTTAAACAACAATTCTAAACTAGATATTAAAAAACGTTTCGACTTCAACATTCTTTTACCAACTTCTAGAAAATTTTCACTATTCTTCTTAAATTGCCGTTTCGACTTGAAATGTAAGGACTAACTTTTTTATAAATAATTTAAACTAAAGAGTTATTCAACATTTTACTACTTAACCAGTAAAAAAATGGACATTACTTTACAATGGAAAAGAAAACATTTTCTCCATAAGAGTTTAAAGATTGACGTTTTTTTTTCTATTGTATTTTGATTAAGTTTAAGTAACACGATGTCCCATTTATTAGGTGCAGACTTCAATTTCTTAATGGTTACAGAAAGTTAAATACGATATCATCACTATTGGAAGGTGTAATGAAATTCGCGTTTTCAACTATTTTCTTACTTACATATTAAATAAAACTAACTAATATAATTTAAGAGGAAAATTTCAACGCTTTGATAGGACTGTATGCTTTAAAATTTAATAAAAATTACGTCTATTAGGACAGTAGATTTTCTCAAATGCTACAATGAAGAATTAACTATTCTAAAAAACTAATGAGTATATTAATTAGTATGGTTAAATATGTCTAATTATAATTTGTATAGTAACGATAAATAGGTCAAAAAGATTATTACAAAGAAATCAAGAATGTAGGTAAATTTTAGGAAATCAAAGAATAGCATTACGAAGTGAGGGGTATTTGAAATTATCCTAGAGTTAAACGTAATATATATTATATTAAAAACACGATGGCTCTTAGCGAATGTTGTTCGCCTTTGAGAAAAAGTTTACAATAGAAAGGTAGAGGGGTGGAGGTATTCAGATTCCAACACAATATAGAGATGTTACTAATAACATGTTTGGCTAAGCTTTTGAAATACCAAAAATGCTTATTTAATTTTTACGAAAAAAGTTATTTTTTTAATAAAGAAATAAGGTATTTTGTCAAGTCCGGTGACAAATAGGTATTTTTAAGTAGTAGGATAAAATATTTTTAACTTTTAAGCAAAAAGGAGAAAGAGATTGTTTCTCTAAAAGATAAGTGCTTTTGATATTTTGAGACATGGATACCCATATCAACTTTCATATTTACCAAACTATTTAGTAGTAGTAGTAGTAGTAGCTTTTTGGATTTTAGAATTATCCATTAAATTTTTGTAAAGTTATTTTTATCTAAGATAAAGTATGTTATATTAAGCGCAAGTCAAAAAATGATTAAGTAAAAATACTTAAAATTATAAGATTTTGTTCTCTGTTGAAGTAGAGTTTGACTGAAGAAACTAAATAACAAGTTTCACAAGATTTCTAACAAAAAATTCACAAATCATAATAAAGCATTAAAGAACTTTTGTGCTACATGATTTCTTCTTTTATTGAACTAGCTAATCAACATTCATCATTTTCAAGAATTTTAACTTTTTTAAAAAAAATTTACTTTATAATTTAAAGGTACTAATAATATTGATGTAATTTTTCAAAATTATACATTCATCGATATAGGTACACGCGTGAAGCACGTACCCTAAGACTAGTACTATATTAAAAGTGGGAAGCTCTTAAGTCAAAAGTTAAATTACCTTTTTACCCTTTTAAAAATGTAAGTACCCTATATATACCCAAAAAAGTTAAAATTACATAAGTAACCTTCTAAAACCTAAAAATACCCTACACCTGTAAATTGTAATAGAAAAAAAATGTTAGATATTTCTTCATGAATAGACACAACCATTCTATAATTTTTATAAGCGCTCTTTTCCGCACTATTTTCTAACCTAACAGCTAGCACTTCATGAGAAGCAAACGAAGGCTTTTCGAAAAATTAAAAACATATAACGACGCATCGTAGTGTAAACCAAATTAATTGTACGGAAAGGACACTACTAGCACACGTGTTCAGATATAATTAGAGCATCCCGACAAGTAAATATAGGAGTATTATCAAGTTCACGTTAAGATTTTTCACTAAATGCAATTAGCATATAGAACCCTATAGATCAATCCATCAGAACTGGTTAACCTGTAAATTCAACATGCCAATGCCACACATTTGATCGGTAGAGTTTTACCAACGGCTATTATAGTTAAGATTTTTATTTTTGGTACGTCTGCATGTATGTTTAAATGACTTAAACATCTAATTGGGTATAATATTGGCTGATTATGGTATGTTTTAATTAATAATAGAGCTTTCTTATTCCGTTAAACTATGTTTACCCAATTATTTGTAGATAAAAGAGACTATTTAATTGTGATATAATTTTCAAATAGACAAAAATTATAATTAGATAGAATATTTATTTTTTAGTATGAATACATACATGAGTGATGGATTTGTCGTGATATGACATTGTTTCTATTAAAGAAACTTTGTTCCTTTAGTCCACATCCTGTAATGAGGAGGTTTTACACGGTAATGGAGTTACATGCTGTTTAGCTTAAGTTAATACGAGTTTGGAATTTTTTTGGGACGACCTTTTATTTAAAAGTTATTATTCTTTTCATACAAATTTAGCTTTAATGTTGAATTATATTAATTACCACAGTATAATTTTTCACATAGACAACTTTAAGTTGCATTTTCAAAATTAGAAGGAACATATATCGTCTGTAAGAAAGTATTAAGTGAGATACGCTTCATTACAAGTTTGTACCTTCTAAAACAAAATAAGAAAAAAGAATCATACATATCTAACTAAACGAATCTTTGTTTTAGTAGGTTCAGATGATATACAATCATCTTGACCTCAATAAATAAGTCATCCTACAACAATCCACTTCAATATTTTATGGAAACAAGTACTTTACTTTTTAATGTATAATTATTTACTTAAAGTTTTATTTAAAAAATAATTTTATATATTATTTTACTAAAAAGTATATTATATGACTTGAAATACACGTGCAACGCACGTATAGAAAAACTAGTATATATAAAAAGGGTAAGGAAAGTAGGTAATGTAGTACAATACAAATCAAGACCTCAATAAATAAGTCATCCTACAACAATCCACTTCAATATTTTATGGAAACAAGAACTTTACTTTTTAATGTATAATTATTTACTTAAAGTTTTATTTAAAAAATAATTTTATATATTATTTTACTAAAAAGTATATTATATGACTTGGAATACACGTGCAACACACGTATAGAAAAATTAGTATATATAAAAAGGGTAAGGAAAGTAGGTAATGTAGTACAATACAAATCAAACTCTCAAGTCCTACAAGTACATGGACTAGGAGTCCTAATACGCCCCCTTAATCTGGAAGTATTGAAATAACAGACAGATTGTCACGCAAAAAATAAAAAGGTGATGAGGATAAACCCTTAGTAAAGATATCAGCAAGTTGGGAGTGAGAACGCACATATTAGAGAACAAGATCCCCTTGAGCAACTTTATCACGAACATAATGAAAGTCAACATCAATATGTTTAGAACGATCATGGAATACGGGGTTATGAGACATGTATGTTGAGCTGATATTGTCACACAATGCTCGAATCGATTCACGAAGATAAAGACCATGCTCACAAAGAACATGACGAATCCAAGAAGTTTCAACTACAGTATAAGCAATAGCCCTATACTTGGCCTCTGTAGACGATCTTGAAACTATTGGTTGTTTCTTCGCACGCCAAGAGATAAGATTGGAACCCAAGAAAATTGCAAACCCAGTAGTAGAACACCTGCTATCGGGGCATCCAGCCCAATCAACATCCGAATAAACAATCACCAATGAATTGGATGAAGAAGCACACAAGAACAGTCCATGAGAAATAGTACCCTGTAAGTACCTAAAAATATGCTTCATACACTGCAAATGAGTAGTACAATGTGCATGCATAAACTGAGAAACAACATTCACAACATAGGCAATATCAGGACGAGTCAAAGTCAAGTATTGAAGAGCACCCACCATGCTCCTATATTCACTAGGATCTCAAAGTAACTGTCCAGTACAATCCAACTGTCCTACCACTTTCTCTTACCTCTTTCACGCTACTATGGCTTCACAGCCGCTTAATCCCCTTCTTCAGATGTCTCGCTTCCTGTTCCTACAACAACTTTTGCAACTACGCAATCAATATTGGATATTTCGTATCTGTTTCAATTCCTCCTTTGCTTCCGTTACAACACTCTTTCCCCCTTCCCTCTATTGCTCCTAGTATTCGACCAAGTTTATCTATAGGACAGATTGGTCTGCCTTCTCTCCCACCTTATGCTGGAATAATAGAACCAACAATTCCATCCCCTTTTCATTATACTGCGGCATTGGCTGCATCTAACGTCACTAACTTGGTGACTATCAAGTTTCATCCCGTTGAAGATTATCTCACTTGGCATACTCAATTCACATCCTTGTTGATCTCACATGAACTCCTTGGCTTTGTAGATGGTTCTACACCTCAACCAACTCAATTTTTATGTGATGTCTCTGGTAACCAGCAAGTTAACCTACTCTATCGTTCATGGGTTAGAGTTGATCAAAGTATGCGATCGTGGTTGTTTGCAACATTGTCTCGCGAGGTCCTTGTTGACATTCACTTGTTACCTACATCACGTGATATTTGGATATCCTTACAAAGATGTTTTATAGATGCTAGTCAGGCAAAATCAATAGAACTTAAGCGACAACTTAATACCATGCGCAAATCAGATTCCATAACTATTGATGAGTATCTCCGAGAGGCCAAGAAAATAGCAGACTCCCTTGCGGCAATTAACTCTCCAGTGTCTACTCAAGATTTTATTGACCATGTTCTTCTTGGGTTAGGAAGAGAGTATGACACACTAGTTGGCATCATTACACATTATCCAGGCCAACTATCTCTTGAAGAACTTCGTACTCTTGCTTCATGAGCAACGGTTGCAACGCCTCAGAGAACTAGACTCTGTTGTCTCCCATCAAGCCTTTGCTGCCCAGGATGTATCTCCTGTTGAAGTTTGGCAAAAATGCCAAAGTCCCACATTGGTTGGGAGTTAAGTTTGGGGGGGATTTTTCCCCTATAAAAGAAGGCCTAATGTTTAGGATTGAAACACACCTCTCATTTGCCTTCTCATCTGTTTAAGGCATTTGTATCTTCTCTCTTTAGTATTATTTCACTTGTATTTTTGGAGTG